AAAAAAAGTAAAATGTTGCGTAAGATCGATTACTGGTTTTGAAGAGAGTTTCGTAATTTTCTATGAAAGTTATCGTGAGGAGTTTCTTCGTTTCGACGAGTGCGTTCGTTGTACGCGGTTTGCGCAATTCGAAGACGATGCAAGGAATAAATAGAATTTGTAAGTATAATTTTATTAATTTCTATCACAATTCTTTAAAAAATACGATAGTGACTAATATCAACGATAATTAACGTTTTAATAAAAATCCTATTATCTAATCGTACTTATCTATTATTATCAATAGCAATCGTTTGAAATAATTGAAATATTTATTCGAAATTTTTTCTATATATACATAAAAATTGAGATTTTTCTTCCTCGAATGATTTCATGATGATCAAGAACCATGATCAAAATCATTAAAAATTATCGCAAATTCTACGAAACTTTTTTCACGACACGGAAAAACAAGTGTTTAGCAATTATTCCAGATATCCCATACGATCAATATTCTTTTCTACAAAATCAAGTATTGCAATATTCGCGCAAAGGATATCATTATTATAATTCTTAATCATCATCTATCTAAATTCAATCACTCACGCTCTAAAGTATCGTCTTAAAATAGCGATACGATACAAACAGATACTACATCCACGATACTAGAGATTACGATTCAACGAAACGATCGTACAAATTACGATCTCGTACTCGTGAATAAAAAAAAAGAAAAAGAAAAAAAAAGAAAAGTCGAAAATCGTCGAGACAAGGAGTGGAAATCTCACGTAGTCAAGGTTGATGGCTGCCTGTTGCTGGCCTCGTTGTTATTCGTCGAGTTCGCTTGTTCCGTGCTCTTGTCTTTGGACCGATCTGTCGCCTCAACCGCTCCAGTCTCTTCCTCCCTTTCCAGGTCGACGTAATAAACGTACCTCGCCGTGTAGCAGAGCAACAGCATCTCGATTAGCATCAGGGCATTGTGGGTAACTGAAATCGGGCAGAGGAAAGTAACAGTGCTCGTTCCTTTATTTGTGGCCCTCGCGTATGGAAATGTTATGGGAGCCCCGTGTTCTTTCATCATGGTGCCCCCCACCAGTGTTCCCATACCAGTTGCAGTCGTCTTCGTCGTCGAGGAAATTTGTATTCATATTCGAGAAGACTTTGTTCTTAGAATATAAATGTCCAAGTTGAATTATTTCTAGCTCGAAAATTTTCTTTTTTTTTTTTTTAAAAAAAGATCATCTTGGAAAAAGATTCAAGAAGTGCATATATATATATTCTTTGCGTTCGTTAATTTCTAAAGTTGAAAAATATAGGAAGAACTTACCATTGGCGTAAATTTGCGGTGTAATTGGTGGATTGCAGGGAAACAGCCCCGTTTGCACCAAACCCTTCACAATGAACGCCTGCAGCTTCGAAAATAGCAGCACTATCTGGGTCACTATGGTCTTGCGTGGAAGTTTCGCCTCTGTGAAATTGACAGCAGGTCAAAACCGTGGCCATCCATTAGGCTGCAAGAGACAATGACGCTTTCCAGGAGCTTCGAAATTGCTTCCTGTCGCGCACTGTTTGTGTGTGGTCTCTCACGCGATAATTGTCAACCTTGGAAGGGAAAGAGCATCATTCTGTCCCATCATTCTCGTTTTCCGCTCGTTTTAATATTTTTCCATCTTGTCTTTCCATCCGTGCGTACGAATTAACAACGAATTTATCGTGTAAATGCAAATTTGTAAATCGTTCGCGGTGTTTTTTTTTTTCTTCTTTTGAAGAATGGGAGAGGAATGGTAGAAAATTGTTTTATAATCGGCCTCCCTTGTAATTTCGTGGAGCGGAGATGAGATAACAGGAACAGATTATACTTGGAGATTCCTTCCTCTCAATTAAGTATGCGCGATTTTTACCTGGAGCGACTTCTTGCAGACTCTTCGTAGTAACGGTCAACCCGTACACTCCGAGAAGCACGCTGGCCAACGAAAGCGGTTGGAAAAAAATCGCGTATTGATCCGAGAGACGGGGCTCCTCGAACGACATGAACAGAAACGTGCTGTAAATTAGAGTCTGAAATAGATAAGGAAATTTTAGCAAGGATAACATAACTGTTGCATTGAAAGAAAAAAAGAAAAAAAAGATCGAGCGCGCGTATCTTTAGCTTCTAAATTAACGATAAATTTTTAATAATGTAAAAAATTCGGTCAGATAGTTGCTTATTCGTAATTCTCGTTACGAATAACGTTCTAACGTTCTAATGGTAGAAAATTACATTGGAACATGTACGATTTTTTTTCTATAAAAAATTAAGCGATACCGAGAATGTATTCTAATCGCAGACCTTCCGTAGATACCGAGAAACCAATCAACAGTTAACGATCACTTTTTTTTTTTTTTTTTTTACT